TCATAGATTTCTGTCATGTTTTAGTTTAGACGCCCCCTAGATTTCTTTCTTCCAACCTATTCCGATATCGGAAAACACAACTTCGTCGAAGCAATCGGTGGTAACTTACTTACTTACGCCTGTGACCCCCGATGGGGGCATAGGCCGCCCACCATTTTTCTCCAACCAACTCTGTCCTGGGCTTCCTTTTTCCAGTTCTGTCCAATGTTTGTTCATTCCTCTCGGCGTAATGTGTTCCTTGGCCAACTTCTTTTCCTTTGACCTTGAGGGTTCCATGTGAAGGCTTGTCTTGTGACGCAGTTAGGTGCTTTTCGTAGTGTGTGTCCTATCCACTTCCACCACTTCTTCCTGATTTCCTCCTCCACTGGAATCTAGTTTGTTCTCTCCCACAGTAAGTTGTTGCTGATCTCGTGTCTGGCCAACGAATCCGAAGTATTTTGCGTAAACAACTGTTAATGAATACTTGTATCTTTTGGATGATGCCTTTCGTAATTCTCCATGTTTCCGCTGCATACAGTAGAACTATCTTGACATTTGTATTGAAAATTCTGATTTTGGTTTCGGTTGAAAGTTGTTTGGAGTTCCAGATATTTTTGAACTGTAGAAATGCAGCCCTCGATTTGCCAATCCGCACCCTCACATCAGCATCGAATCCACCTTTCTCGTCGATGATGCTGCCTAGATATGTAAAGGTGTTAATGTTCTGCAAGGCATCTCTATCAAGAGTGATTTGGTTGGTGCATGTAGTGTTGTATCGGAGAATTTCGCTTTTTCCTTTATGTATGTTGAGACTTTCTGTTGCAGAGACTGCTGCTACACTGGTCGTCTTCTCTTGCATTTGTTGTTGGGTGTGCGATAGAAGAGCCAGATCGTCCATCTGCATCCTAGCTGTCCAGTGGATACCGTGCTTCCCTCCATATGTCGACGTCTTCATTATCCAGTCGATCGATCACCAGGAGAAAGAGAAAGGGTGAGAGTAAGCAACCTTACCTGACACCAGTCTTCACCTCAAACAAATCTGTTAGCTGTCCTTTGTGTACAATTTTACAGTTGAATCCATAATCTTAAGAATTCCTCATGATGTAAACTATTTTCTTCAGACACACACACCATAGTGTCGAAAAAGCCTCCACAGGGTTTTTTTTTACTATCCACGCGCTATCGAATGCTTTCTTTCACGTAATCGATGATAATAAGGTCAACAATAGTAATGATTGATTCATTCAACTTTATTATTCTCTGCTTACTGTTTCATCGGTTGTTTGGTTGTTTGGTTGTTATTATTTCAGATTACAAACAATGGTAATTGGATGCATATTAAATATCAAAATAAAATGCAAGCACATTGTGCATTAAATAAAAATGGTAAAGTATTTGGAGATAATACAATGGTTGGTGTATCAATTTGTACTGATTCTGTAAGTAAGCATAATAATTATGTTTTTCATGTATCTGTACATTTCAGTCAATTGTTTACATTAGCGGTGCAGCAAGATAAGGGGAATGTGAGTAGAATTAGTTGTGGAGAGAAGAGGAGAGGTAGGTATGTGTGGATGTATAAGAAGGATTTGGGTTTTGACCAATTTGATCTCACGTGTGCTGTTACGGGTATGTGGTGGGGGGTTGTCTGTCACTTCCCGGCTTCCCACACCGTGGAAGGTTGTTTCTTGAGGGACCTGAAAAGGAAGGTAGATTAGTGTGCTGGTCTTAGAGACGTGAGAGCGTGACCGCAGAGTCCAAGGGACAACTGCTTGAGGCTGGTCACGCACGGCCTTTTTATGGAGGGTTTCTTGAGTATTAGCTCCGCTCTTAAAACACCTTAGTGGGTACCCGTACGGACGGAGAGGGAAATCCGTGAGGTAGGTTGAGGTGTGACATTTTTAGGGTCGACCTTTTCTAACCCTTCCTTCGTTGTGATGAGAAGGCAGCATCGCTGCAGATGCTGTTTGTCCGAGGGAAACACCTTACTGCTGTCATACCCCTCTGCAGTCAGTAGTACGACTTCGCCCTCAGACCTTGAGTGGCTGCTTTTAGTCTGATCGTTCTCCAATCGACCTGTATGGCATGATAGGACCTGTAGGAACATATGTTCCAGCCAGTGTAGCTCGGTTGGGTCATCACGATAGGCAAGCCTGACCACCACGTCAAGGTAGCAGCTACGGTCGGGATGTATATATATATATATATATATATATATATATATATCATGAATAAATCATCGTTAGACCACTATGTTAAACTTTGAAGCCCTGGACGACTGTTTCATCCTTGTATAGGACTGACTCATCCATGATTCCTGCTGGATGGACTCCAGGACCTTTGGTTTTACGCGTGGATCATTGAAGTGGCCAGCATTCGACGGTGTGTTAATGTCTAAATCTGATCAATCTAAAGATTTTGAGAAGATGCGACTAGTAAAGTTCAACTTTATCTGGATGAGGTTGCACTAAATCCATAGATTGATCATTGTTGGACATTAGCGCTGTTGGGTGGTGGCCAAGTTGTCCAAAGGTTAAGCATTCGAGCGGGAGGTTGCAGGTCTTGGGTTCGAATCCTGTAAGTAGCAGGATTCGTGGATGCTCATTGCTACTGTAGGGTCCTATACCATGCTGAAATAACTGTTCAGTGCTTACAAGTTTCTAATGGTGATCTAACAATTATCGATTCATGTTGTATGTTGTACTTTGTCTTTAAAGTAAACTACACTTATTCTCCCTCAGTTTGTTCATGCCTCTTCACCAAGAATACATTTAATATGTATTCAATAATTTTTCATTATCCTTTTAGTGTTGGCTTTTGCCAACCTGCGTCACTTATGGTGCAGGCGAGATATACGCTTGTTAACCAAAGGACGAGTGTACTGTGCAACAGTTCGCTCTGTCCTACTATATGGATGCGAAACATGGCCATTAATGGTAGAGGACTTCCGTAGGTTACTAGTCTTCGATCATAGGTGTATCCGAAGCATTGCTCGTGTATCATGGGACAACCGAGTAAGCGATGCTGTCGTTAGGAAACGAGTTTTAGGTAAGGATGGCAGATCAATTGATGAAGCGGTAAAACTTCATCAGTTGAGGTGGTTCGAACATATGTTACGTATGCCTAACCACCGACTGCCTCGACGAGCTTTGTTTTGTGATGTAGGAGTAGGTTGGAAGAAAGTTAGGGGCGGCCAAACGAAAACATGGCAGAAATCCATGAAGTCATTGACAAGTGAACTGAGTCATGTTGGTAAATGTAGGCTACGTGGTTGGGTTCCGTGAGACGAAAGTCGCCATTGGTCAGAGACTTTAAATGACATGACTCAGAATCGTTTGCAGTGGCGCCGGTGCATTTACTCTTTGTGTTCTCTCAAATCTTAATCTTCTGGATTCTTCAACACCTCTAGTTTTGTCTTTTTAAACTTACCGCACTGAATCCTACTTCTTGAATAATATCTTCTAATCCTTACCTCCGATTACTTCCGATAATTTTACTACCTCTACTACTATTGTATTTGAATTGACAATTACATCTCTTTGCTAATGTTGAACGGCAACATGAACTGGAGTACTTACGTACGAAGTTCTACGTTGCATCTGACTGACTGAGGCTGGAAGATAGCTTTATGTTAGCGACCAAACCAAAACATGACACAAATCTATTAATTCACTAACAACTGCACTGTGCCATATTAGTAATCTACACAACTGGAATTCACGAGACACACTCGTAACCGGTGGTATGCAGTAACTACCGAAGATAATGGGTGAGATTACGCAATACGTTGGATTGACCAAAGTTATTCGAAAGTAACACCGTTCGATTCGAACTCTGTGCCCAGTGTATATCCGTGGCACTGAACGTGCTGGGTTCGATTCCCGCAAGTGGGATTCGTTGATTTGCCATATGCAGACTACAAGCACTCAAAGATAAAATCGTCATGCGAACGTCCAAAAGCAAGTGAGCGAATAGGCGAATGAATGGATAAAGCGATGTGAAGAAAGCTAATGAGCCTAGATTTTCAGTGTACATCCGCGGCACTGAACGTGCTGGGTTCAATTCCCGCAAGTGGGATTCGTTGCCTTACCATCTGCTGATGAGTCGCATACTCTAGAGACGAAACGACTGTCGTCCAATGTTTCCAGATTTCTAATGTTTCTCTAACAATGATCAATTCATAGTGAACTATGTATGCATTACGGGGTTGTGAAGATTGTTAAGCTACACATTTTTGAAACCATGAATCGATCAATGTTAGACCACCATTAGAAACCTGGAAGCACTGGACAATGGCCGTTTCGTCCTGGTATGGGACTCCTTAGCAGTGCGCACCCACGACTCCTGCAGCCCGCAGGGTTCGAACCCAGGTCCTTCGGTATTGTGCGCGAACGCCCTAACCGTTAGACCACTGAGCCGGTATCCGGTGGTGTTAATGTCTAACTTGATCAAATTCACGGAGTTGCGCAACCTCATACACAGTCTTCGGTTTCAAAAATCTGTAACTTAACAATCTTCACAACAAACCCATAATGCAAATTACCTGTGCTCACTAGTGACCAGCTTCGTGAGGAATCTTCTCCCCGAGTTCTAGTGGGAAGACGTGATCAGTGAAGTTCAACCTGTTCGGGTGTAGGCAGTGTCTACCGAAGACTGTGTATGAGGTTGCGCAACTCCGTGAATTGATCAAGTTAGACATTAACACCGTTAGATACCGGCTCAGTGGTCCGATGGTTAGGGCGTTCGCGCACAATACCGAAGGCCCCGGGGTTCGAATCCTGCGAGGAGCAGTAGTCGTGGATGCGCACTGCTGAGGAGTCCCATACCAGGACGAAACGGCCATTGTCCAATGCTTCCAGGTTTCTAATGGTGGTCTACCATTGATCAATTCATAGTTTCAGAAAATGTGTAAATTGTGATTGGTTAATTAGTTTTTTTGCTTTAATCGATACGTTCAATTGTTCAATGTTCAAATTTGTGTACATTTTTTTTGTTTTTTTTATTTTTTTTCATTTCAATAGCAAATAATGAATGATTATAAATGTGATGATTTATTATCGAAACCAACAGATTTGTGTAATTTAAATGATTCCGTATTTCTTAGTCCATCAAATATTAATCATAAATATAATCATAGCAATTCAACAACAATGAAACGTGCTAATGATGAGAATTACAGAGCGGCAACACCAACACAAACAACTGGTACACCAATACGTGATTTCAATGGACTGAAATCAGTGAATAATGGTGGTGGTGGAGGCGGTGGCGTAGGTGGCGGCGGCTTCATTGGCAACGGCGTAATTCATACTGGTATGGATTCGGTCAATGGTTTTTCAGATAAATCCATGAGCAGTAATATTGGACGTCATAATTCTATGCGTTCATTGGCAGCTTCGGTACGACCAACAAATTTATCAAGAACTACAAGTGTAAGTCTTTGGGGAGAGTGTTTGTTAAACCTGGACGTAAACATGTGAACTTCAGATATACTTGAACTATTACGAGTTTACCTAGTAGTCGGAAACGCGAGAGCGAGGATTGAGGATCCGGTGATACGACTTTGCTACTCAAATTCAATTATCCCAACCCCTATATTTAGTAAAAATAAGAAGACGTCACATGAAGTAGAACGTGTATTTTATAAACACCCAGAAAGTACGAGGTCGGAATCCAAAAGAGAATCAGGATCCCGGACTAGGTATCCAGGGCCGAGCCCTGGTCCTGGTTGTGGTCATAAAACATTACAGATAATGCGTATTTATACATTTTGGTTGAATAGGAAACAGCGTCGAATTCTGTGACATTGACAGTTTAGGACGACCAATAGGAAGTAACATTTGAAATGACATTGACAGTCCTGATGACCAATAAGAGACAACAACATTAAAGTATTTGACTTTGACAGTTAATAAAATGACCATAATTTTGACCAATAGAAATCGACCAATAGGATTTGACCAATAATTAATTCTCTTCGGACATTGGATGAATGTCCTAACACACAGAGAAAGGTAGCGTACATATAAAAACTGGTTAACTGGATTTATTTCTACGCATGTTGCACAGTTCGAAAGTTTTTATAATCAGCTGACACAAATGTTTTGTTAATTGGTTCAAATATAACCTCAGACCCTAAAAAATCACATTAATAAGAATGAGAAAA